CAAAAGCCTAACCGCAAGGCAGCGGTGTTTGGCGGGAAATGCAAATGCATTACCTTTTCTACGGAACAAGTCGCCATACCTGTTCCAACCCCCAACCTGGAGAGCCAGGAGACTGTGTTCGTCAGACCTCTAACTATTGACCAACCTGGTGTAAGAGACTCTGTGAGTGTCGGGGGACACTTTCCAGTATAGCTCAATGGATCGCTGAGGTGCGCAAACCATCACAGCACGGTAAGGTCCAGTCTCTTCGTGACGGCAGCTGTTGTGTTAAAGAATGGACTAAAGCAGCAACGGCATCATCGATATTCACCTTGATTCCACAGAAGCATTCAGCGTTCACCGAAACAATTCATGATCCGATAGATGCGGTACCTCGAAAACAACTTAGATGCGCCGAAGTTGAGCTTCTGAAACAACAGCGCAGAACGAAACAAAATGGTGGAATAAATGAAGTGAAGGGCTCCAATTTCACGTGGATCGCCGTCGTCACCGGGATTTTTCACCGGATAACATGTTCGGGCTGCTGATCGACTTCATTTGCAATGTCCACGCAAAACCTGATAATGTTCGAAGAGCAAATACAGCCTGCCGCTCCGTTGGTTAGCCCACTCAAAACGAATGGCCAAAACTCCGACCCCATATGAACCCGTCTACGATAAATTGAAGAGAAGAGAGTTCAGCTGTAACACCCTTCCGGTGCCTAGCTGCCGTGCCACCCGAAGGTTGCACGAGGGCTAGGATACTGCCAGGTTGCCCAAGCCTAGACAGGGGGAGTCGAGAGGCAGAGGTCGGATTCGAACCATGGACCTTCGGGTTAGTAAATTCGCGGTCTAACCACTTGAGGCATCTCCTCCCGATAAGTTGAAGAATGGAATTTGAAATCGGGGACACCGAAACAACCTCCGGGTAAGTTTAAAAAAGTGTAACTTCCTTTTTAGGTGACCGAATTAGGTTGGGTCAAGTCACACAGATAAAGTCAAGTGAGCCGATCGAAGTAACGGATGATAAGCAACAATATGACCAAAAACGTTAGAGTACAACTACAGTCGTTGAATCATATGGTCTGTGTGGGATGATCAAACGGATCCAGGTAATGAGAAACATATAGAAAAGCTGTTCATATAAGCTTATAGACGGCAAAAGACAAAGGGTTGTTACAAAAGGTGAGTGTAGATTTGCAAAGAGCTTCTCTCGGTATGTTCCTCTTAACCGGGTCAGTGACTCTAGAAGTGGGACGAAAGTGACCTTGTTATCGACTAAAGTTCGTCCAGATGGCAAACATGAATATACCAGGGTAAACAGTAGTGTTGAGTTAAATCAAGTGAAATACGACAACGTAAAAGAAAGCAGTCAGATAAGTACATCTTCCGAAAAACCAGCCGCGTAGAAGTGCGGCTCAACCAGGATGGCAAAACCAAGGTGTGTTGTGAGACATATGAATCAATCCATGCCTGACTCTTAGTGCATTGAGAAACGGGGCAAAAGAGACCGACGCCATTACCTTCATTATGGCCAGTAAACCGACGCATCCTATGTCGGCCCAGCAACCAATTCCGGCGCAGTCGAGAGCGTTTTTGGAAAATCCCAAACCACTGTTGATGAAGAGGAGTAAAAAATGGCCTTAATATGGATAAAATAAGCGATACGAGAGTTCAATAAACCTGTCTCTCAGAGAAGGAAAACAGCGTTATGAAGGCCAATGGGCGTTACTTACATCAACCGAAGCGTTCCCAGAATTTACCAATAAAGATGCGATTGAGTCACTCGATTGCCCGGTAGACGGAGCTGCTTCAGTATCAGCAGCACAACCGAACGGAAACAACTGCCTGTCGAGCAACGGTGGAGACCATTCAGGCAGTTGACACAACCTTCTGTACAATTCCGGATGTCGGGCAGCGCGGAACCATGCGCGATTAACCATTGAACAGGCTATCAGGGCATCTGAATAGGGAAAGCAGAAGAGTGAATGGCTTCAGATGGAACAGACGTACAACATATTAGCTTCCGGAACAAATGAGAGCACGTTGGGTTACTTCGATCTGCGGGTACAATGCGGCGTTTGAAACGAAGTCAGTCCTCGCGTTCCTTCTCACCCTGGCTCGAACCCGGGGGAGATGCAGCCAGGTTACACAAACAAAAGCGTGTCACGCGAATTGAAGACTCTGTAGTAGGAGCTTGCACGATAAGCTCTTCTTTGTCCCTAACTTTTGTCCAGCGAACAGGTATATCATGTGAGTGCTGCGAACGCTATATGGTAAAAAGCCTCTGTAGTGATGTAAGGACAAATTTGTCCCAGCAGCCACTATGAAAATTAACAGGGGTAACAGAATTAACAGAATTAGCACTCGACTAGAAATGGTCACTGCAGACGGGCAGTCGCTATAGTGCAGCCGTGGTCATTCAGCTTCAACATGGTTTCGTGGACCGCTTCCGTACAGCTTACAGGAGTTACGAAAGCCAGCATATCAACAGCTTATCCTAGTTGTCCTAGGATAGTGTAGATTGGAGGTTTTGAAAAATGATGAGGGTTCGAACTCGGAGCGCCCTCGTCAACTTGTACGCGAAACCAACATTTCAAATCAACGACAATTGTCGACCCAGCGTTCAATGGCCATCGGCAACATCGCTGAGATGCGTTTATTTGAAAGTTGGAAAAAAAACAGCTAAAAACACACGATCTAAAGAGAGAAAAAGCTGACTTACCCCAGGGAAGATAAGAGAAAATTCGCAGTACCAGTTCGGGAGGAAGCCATTTGACGAAATCATAACAGTCGGACAGCGCCATGCAGGTGGAATGAAGTCGGGATGTCAATCGTAAACTCTCCAGGTGACTCAAGCGCATATGTGTCTGAGATAGATGCAAAGTGCGAAACAATGAAAATCGTGAGCAACAAAAATATGGTAAACGGTCGAGTTGTTCACCAAGCAACAAAAGTGTCAAGCTCAGCGAACAACTCGCCCGTCAGTTGAATAATACGAACTACGAACAATCCCTTCGACATCGTGTGAATACAGTGTTGACCTCAAAAGAGTACTCACCCAACCGAGATAACTGAAGGACGAGAATACCCAGAATTAGACTTCTTAAGAGAAACAAAGAGCGCTGTATGAGGCAATTAAAAAGTGACCTGTCGGTTGTGCAACAGGTACTTCCATTGAAGAATGTGCTCAGCACCAGAAGCCGCGTTGGTTGGGACATGTGTTGCGTATGCCGAACCATTGTTTGCCGAAGAGTGCTGTTTCCCATGCCCAACTCAGAGTGGCGTAAACAGAGAGGTGGCCAACCCTTGACTTGACAGAGGAGTATGAANCGTTTGGGTGCTGTCGGTTCTACTCGCCTTCCGGGATGGGGACCGCGTGATCCCCACTACGCCTGGTTGGAGACACTACAAGATATGGCTGCCAATTGATGTCAGTGGCTTTCCTTTCTTGTTTTTCTATCCAGATTGCCTGAGTGAGTGTGTGGAGGTGTAGGCCCCTCGGAAAGATTGTAGTAAGCTAGCACTAAGTCCCTTCCCCGTCTACCTTTATTCTTTTCTTCACAATAGGAATTTTAAATAGATCATGGTTGTATGGCAGCGAAGCATCGACGTTGAACACTGATGTTAAGCTGTCGGTGATGATGACGATGATTTCGTGATTTCACAAGCTCTCAGTGATGGCCAGCGTAGTTGAAATGGAAATAAAACTAGGCGCGAACAAAACAGATGGTACACAAATAGGTCGAGCACTTTGATAAATAGGATGAAATAACTGCGCAAGACAAAAAAGAATAAATTTCTACATTTGCACTTGGTTTGCATGCACACAGTCTGATATTGTTTTGTGTTTTTATGTTTCGTAAACGAACCGGTTGCGATAGCAGCATTTCGAACATGCACTGAACCAGCGGCAATCAGAAGAATCCAGGTCTCATTCAGAAAGCCACGTTCACCCAACAATGGCTCACCTAGCCGTTAGTTTCCTCGTTCCTGTCCATCTCATGTCCTTTTTTCGAAAGATGCCGACCACATGCGAATGAGACAGAGGAGTGCGAGACTACATGGGCAGCAATCTTTGAGTAAGCTAAGTTAGCAAACCTTATATATGGGAAAAGACCAGGTTACACAATGTGGAACAGCAGACTGCCTTAAGAGAAGGGCGAATAGTGCAGTGTTACCACAGATAATTCACATCAGCAAACGATGCTCTACCGTTGGTCGTACAAATTCCGATGCAGAAAAAGGTGGTGACCATAGCCAGCGTGTACCCACTCAACGTGACCGCGAGTCTCTATCAACCCTGGAGTAAGACCCTGAATTATGAAGTGGAAAACCACACGCAACTAGACAAATGTGAAACAATGGGATGAAAGAGAAGCTTAAATAAGCATCGAATCTTTTTTACTTTCTTCAGTTGCATACGCAATGCAAATGCAACCATATGGCTAATTCGGGCCTTAGTCTACCTAGTGAGCTCCAGATCGAGCGAAACCAATAGTGGGTGTCGGTGAACTCTGAAGCATACTACTTATAAGGAACAGAACTTCAATATCTCAAATATCTTCAACCCTAGGACAGCTGCACATCCAGCTAAGCTGAATCATGAGCAAGCGATTCATTCTGTCGACCAAACGCGCTACTCATAAGGTTGCTGGTCTTATGATCACTATATCCGGCCGAGATAGTGTACTACTATACCCTGAATAGCGTCCCAACTGAAACATAGGGCGGTCCGTGTGCAGCGCATTCAGTTGAAAAATATCGCAGACGATAGATTCAGTTGAATCTCCCATTAAAACCAAATTAGTTTCCAAATGAGTGTGTTTCGCGAGGTTCATTCTCTGTTCACGCCAATTGAATATGTAAATGAATGTTAAGTAAAATGCAAGGCAGTAATCGAATAGAATAAAAGAAGTGACTGAATTTCGGAGTCTGACGAAAGCCCGGCAAACCGAGAGTGAGCTATCGGCAAGTTTAAATCCATCTTAGTATACTATCTGTGGAGGATGGTCACGTTTCTAGTTGACGACAATATAATATATATATAGTGGACGCCAGAGTGGAACCTCATTTTCGTATTGGCGAGATCTTCAGAAATATGGATCACTTACGGTCAGATGTTCCAGTAGATTTTCCTTCTGTTGATTGTTTAGCAGTTCAGATAAATCTTTGACCAACTGTGAAAGAGGACAGAGTCGATTTGGGGTAAGTGCACAAACTGGCGTTTCGGAAAAGCAATATGACCCACCCAAATAGAGAAAACAGTCTTTAATACGAAGGGAAACCATTTCTATTAGCAAACGTTTACCGACCATGGTGGAGGGGAGTCACAGACTGACGACGGTAGAGTATCGCCTGCTGCGTAGCGTGGTACTCCTTCAGTTACTGATATATTTGTAATTTGAGCTCCCTGTGGAATAGATTTCACTCACCCTTAACTGCACACACATTAGCTCCGTTGCTTGGTTTGACTGATCGCTGACAGTACAGCACTTCCGAGCTGTTGGTCGTATGCAAGACAGACGTAGGTGTCATTAAGACTACTGGCTACATTGATTGGCCATTCTCTGCATTCACATATACAAAAGTGATTTAGGGTAACATTAGCCATAAAAGATCACAAGGTTACGGTACGAATCCGGTGGTTGAGTCAACCAACAGTCACTCAGCCGGTCGCCATCGTCATTTTGGCCAGATTTTAGAGCAAGGCAACATGTGCTCGAGGTAAGGAATGTACTGTAGCACGCAATATACCGAAAAAAAACTGACAACTACGGTTAACTATAGCCAAGATGGCCCGAAGACGGGCTATTCCTTGGAGAGTCCACCGTACAGTCAGTTACGGTTAATGTGGGGCCACCCTGAGGAGAGGCTACTTTCTTAGAGAAGGCCAACTGTCTCTTCCCCTCACCAGACCAGATAATACAATATAGTTGTCCATTGAAAAATTTCAACTGTTCAGTGCATGTGTACACATGTCATATCTCAGCCAAAAAATAGCCCAGGCAAAGGCTAGACTTTTTCTAGTCAGACATCAAAATCCAGGCGTGCTAAATTGGATAAAAGGTTCAACCATGGGAAGAATATTTGTAAAGCATGGTGGAGGCAACTGGAATTTGGAACTCTGGTCCTACAATAGACAAGAAATAGTATGGGGAATGGCAGAGCAGACCCGATCAATGGAGGAACGCGTGACGAAGGTTCGGTAACTTCGTAGTGGATTCTCAGGTAGAAGCAAGGGGAAAACGAATAACCGCATACCTGCAAAATTTGTTCCGGTTCCAAACCCAACAACAACTTGGTGGACAAGAAGGATACAAAACTCCTGAATTAGAGAGAAGGATGAAGAGAGCTTTGTTAGCTGAGTGGATCTAAGCACTACAGTCTCATGCAACAACAGATTAAACATTGGAAAATGTACCTTAGGTAACAGGCTATCTTCCTTGCATATTGGGCCAGGATATTCATTATGACAACTACAAACGCATTGTGAGGTTGTTAGTCAATGTCACACCCAAATTAAACAATTCGCAAAAAGCACATACACTGGGAAGGATGTGAGGGTTGAGTGCGCCCGAGTTTTGCATAGGGACAGTTAGATACATTTGTCTTTCAAGGCCAGGCAAAAGTCCGTGCACTTTGAAACACTCGTCTTCCAAGCACAGTCATTAAACTCGATCAGACTAAGTAGCCAACTGCATTTTCGAGTTGCTGAATTACTCGTTTCAACGGATAGGCGGAGAACAGGTGTGGTACAGACTCCAAGACGAAATCAAGGTAACCAACTAGTGACATCTGGGAAGCGAAGAAATCTACTAACATCAGGATAGTAAACGAGTGAGCATGTTTTCATGACAGATAACCTGGAAACCGGAAGGCAACATTCGAGATATACATGTATTTCGAGCCCAAAAGGCCATTCGACCCAAATAATTAGCGTACCAGCACTTTTTGAAGGATCCAGGAGTGCGTTTTGTATACCAGAACCCCGGGTTGAAGCACATGAGGGGACCGGTTTGGTATGTCGAAGGGATCTTAGCCTAAAGGTATACGTACCTGATGGAAAAAGCTACCACTCGAAATGAGCTCAAGAAAAAACAAAACTACCTGTTGGTGGTAACCGAGGGCTCTAAGGAAATTCAAAAGAATCTCTTGTTTTTAGTTACATCCTTCCAATGAATGTGCTGCACAAAGGCTGTTGCATCTTCCAGTGGGCATGAAATTCAAGATACGGAAATATTTTCTACCACACGACATTAGACCGATGGGGATTTGAGGGCCAGGACTACCTGGTCATTCTCAAGAAGGGCAAAGCAATGATTGTGTAGTCAAGAATTTCATCAATCTTATGGTCATGAGAACAAGGCTAGCTGCTTTGAAGCTCATACGCACGATAAGCTGTGTTCGAGTTTTGAGCATTCAACCCATACTGCCTAATTCGAAAACAAAAGAAACTTCACTGTATATTTTTGCAGCCTGTCAGCAGCGCAGCATTTCAGGACGTCTTGATATCCAAACTCAGCTCGTACCATTGTTAAATGGATTGACAAACAGGGTTCGCTCGCTTGGCAACGCTGAGGAAAGCGTTTTGCTTTATACTGTATCTGTTAGGTGTTTGGCTACGAGATAATCTCGGGTGACAAGTTAGGTGAACGGGCATAGGTTCGAATCTCCGTGGAAGCCACCAACTTACTTATGCGAGAACAATATATGTGCACTTTTATGCAAAATTGTTTGAGGTTGATAATGATGACTGAACTATTGCAAAGGACGTTCCTACTCGCAATAATAACTGCATGATAATAATAGCTCAGCTGTAACACCCTTTCGGTGTCTAAGTTCCATAACTCTATTAAGGAAGAGGGATAAGATACTGCTCAGTTGCCCAAACGTAGACAGAAGCAGTCGAGATGCCTGGTGTGGGTTGTAACCATGGTCCTTCTGGTCAGTAAGTTCACGCTTTAAGTACTCGTACATTCAATTAATTAATTTCATGTCTCGTTTAAGTGAAGCACCAAGAGTATACTGACAAGGCAAGCAGGGTTATTACAATCACTCAAGCCCATGGCTTTAGTTTTCCAGCTATCGAAGTCCCGTTTTTGTCCACTGTCCATTGTGAGGCAATAGACAACACGCGTGACTGTCTAGCTGATATAATATTGCTACAAGTGCTCATGAGCACCAAAAGTTTGAGAAAACGATAATATACTAGGGTAGACAGCCTTGAATCTCCTCCGGTTTCTGAGGACAGTTCAGGCACGATATCATGACCTGAAGGTCCACGGTTCTTCATTGCTCGTCACACCTATGGCAACGTGACACTATCTCGACCCTCGTACTTTCTCCAGATTAGACGGCAGTCATGCTCGCAAAGGGTGGAATATTAGCAGAGTTGCAAGCATGCGGAGAAGAGTGCCCACGTCTAAACAAGGGAACAATCACGACCCTCAACTGAAGCAAATAGTTTGGAAGTGTAAACAGGAGGCGGCAACGGTGGTTGCGTAGGCAAACTACTGAAGTCTAGCGCTTAAAGAACAAGTAAAAAATACGTTCAAAAGTTGTAGGGAAAATAATCCCGANCTGGAAAACGTGAAAGAACAAAACGGTACCTGCAGTGTAGCTCAGTAGCAGAGGTTCACAAACGGTCGGATCTCCTCGTAACAAATGTCACAAGCGGTCTATTTTTCGAGTTTGGAAGTACCCAGTGACGGGTGCTGTTTTGTTTACATAAGGCGCGCCTGATGAAATTACGATTGAAAGAGTAAGGGACATTCACAAGGGTGAGTGACACAATAGTACCCGGAGCACACAAACCACTGGTACGATAGAAAGCACACAACCGAAACCATTCTGATAATACAGCCGACTTCAGGTCGGGAATACGCTCTGTGAACGCAAGAGGAGTTGACTTAAAGAGGATGAATTTCATTAATCCCCCGATGAAAACCTGAGACAAACATACCCAAGCAAGATACCCAGAGTAGTATAGACACCCAAAATAGAACAATAATGTGCACTATCGAAGTAGTAGTTTTCAAGGGGAAACCTATCTTAGAACCCTTCGCAACACGACAAAGAAAAAGCATGCTTATTCCTAGGTGACTGGGTTCGGTTGTGGCATTCTCTCGGTACACATCCTGTAAGTAGGCAAAACGGGGCACAAAAGCCGAACTATCTCGAGCTATGCACATGAGTCGTATAGGGGCAAACTCCACCGAGAACGGATCGATGCATTCACATGTAAAAAGTGAAACCAACAACTTACTGTGAAGAATCGGAAACACAAGGGAAAGTAAGTGCCTTCATCTTGACTATCCAGCGAACAGAATCACACGGAAGCATTCACATGACTGGTCCTGAACATCTGAAAATGAAAAAAACTTGCACAAGTTGACAGGAAAATTTGTGCAGATTAGCACCAAAGATTTCGGTATGGTCTCTTGTTGAGAATGGTTTTACTTCCTGAGCTCAGGACAACTCAGCGATTAAGGCGCGAAACTACTGGCCGGAAGGTCTGACAGTGATGATGACAATGATGATGAAGTCTGAGGTTTGAGCCTAGCCTGGCTTTTCGAGTGCTCCTGTCTAACCCAGGGCAAATCCTTGTACAGCAGCTACGCAACTATGCTCGAGAAAACTCAGTGGTTAAAGCGCCAGCTTACTGACGGGAAGGTCCGTGGTTCAAACCCAACCTCAGCATCTCGACTGCAGCAGTTACTTCAATCGCGGGAGACATCCGGTACCATCAGCTCTGGTGGCTTGGTCATGTACTACGCACGCCGAAATACTGTCTACCGAGACGAGTGCCGCTATCCATGCAACCTTTCAGAAAGGCGCAAACACCGAGGTGGACGTGACTTGACAGAAGGGCGCGAAAGAGATTACGGAGAGTTTGGGTGTTTTCGGTGTTGTATGCCATCCAGGATGAACCGCGTGATCCCAAATGTGCTTCGCAGGAGACAGTGCGGCTGATCGATGTCAGTGGCGTTCGTGTTGTCACTTCATTTCCAGATTGTCAGATTGAGCGCTCGGAGGTGTAGCCACAGGAGAGCCCAGGTCCCGTCTTTCACTGACTCTTTCTATCTTCTTTCCACTCTAGGATTTTGAATGTAATTAGATGAACTTTATGGCAGTGAAGTCTCAACACTGATGTTGGTGTCTCTGATGATGATGACCTCGAATGTACCTGTATAAGCTTGGGCGAGATAGCTAAGTGCTTAGAACGCGGATTTACTGACCGGAATGTCCGTGGTTCAAACACGATCTCGACTTCCCCTGTCTAAGCTTTGGCAACCTGGTAGTATCCCTGTCATCGTGCTTCCTTCGTGTATCACAGCAACTAGGCATGGAAAGGGTGCTAGAGCTGAACGATTTTTCCATCAAATATATATCGTGTCCGTGGTCCTCTCAACCATCTCTTAAAAAAGGATGTTCCTTGGAATTGGTCACCTCAGTGTCAATCAGCTTTCGACGCAGATATATAACTTCTATGGTAAGACTTGCTGCTTACATATTACAACCCGTCTATGGATATCATTCTAGCATAAGATGCATCCGACCATGGAATCAGAGTAGTCATTTTCCAGACTTCCTGACGGAACTGAAAAAGCCATCGCCCATGCAGCCAGGTCTGACACAAACAGAACACAATGAGTCAGGTAGAAAAAGAAACACTTGCAATTGTGTTTGTCATCAAGAAACTCCGGAAAATGATTCACAGTCGCCATTTCACACTCCTCACCGATCACAAACCTCTTGTTAATATCTCCGGTTCGAAAAAGGCGTTCCGGTATAGAAGGAAAATCGTCTCCAGCACAGGGTAACCATTGTCCTTGGCTATGATTGTTCAATCAAACACCAGTTTGTGGATACCATTGGCCAGGCAGATGCCCTATCACAACTGATGGACTCACAACGACAGCCGGAAGAAGATATAGTTACGGTTTCCTTTTCTACCGAACCAAAACTTGCTGCACCCATTCAAGCTAGTTACATCCAGTTACATCAACAGCGTCCATGACGGAACCAGATATGACTCCGTGCTCCAGCAAATATTACACTATCATCGCCAGTGACACGCAACATCCAGTCCTTATCCAATCGACGGTTTTCTCCATGTGAAGTCGGTTGTATTCTCTTTGGTTAACGTGTTATAATACCAGTCAAACTGCAAGCGCGAGTACTGAATCACTTTCATTTTGGGCAACCGGGTATCAATGGCATAAAAGCGTTGGAAAGAAGTTATGTATGCTAGCCGAGTGTGGACAGTCAGAACTTGTGCAGTCTGGTTTAAAATGTCAGTGTTCTGCGAAATCGCCGCCGAAGACCAAGTTACCTTCGTGGCCTGCATCAATTAACAGTTGGTCGTATACATATTGATTTTCCAGGACCAATCAACAATCGGCATTACCTTATCACGGTTGACGGTTACCGTAAATCATTCAGCTGTACCACCTTTGGGTGGCTAGCTGCCACGCCATCCGACGGGAGCACGAGGGCTGAGATACTGTCAAGTTGCCATAGTCTAGACAGGAGCGGCTGAGTTGCTGAGGTTCAGCTCGAACCACATACCTACCGGTTAGTAAGTTAACGCCTTAACCACTGAGCTATGCCAAGCTTACAGTAAATGGCTGGAGAAAACCATGATGGATCACATCACTTCTCGCTCCATAATATTGCAGTCCACTCGCATCTTTAGTCACTTCGGTACGCCAAGAACAGCGATTTCAGATAACGGCAGTGCATTCACTTCGGCGGAATTCACCTTGTTTTGCAAGCTAAGTGGTATTCACCGCGTCATATCTCCGCCATTCCATCCTGAATCTAACGGTCAAGTTAAACGCTTAGTCGAAACTTTCAAATAAGTCATTCAAAATCCAAAAGACGAGGGAAAATCAGCGGAAATTATTGGAACTTCCTTGTTAAGCTACCCGTGGAAGCGCTTTTGCGGCGTGAAATCTGTTTACCCATAGATGTGGTAAGCCAATCTCCCCGGCATCTACAGAAAAGGAATTAACATCTGCGAAGATCGTTCAACTGCCATCACGGTACCGTTTACACCACCTATAAGCCCAGTGGTTCGGTATAAACTAAGGACTGTCGCAACGGTGGAGAAATCGACTTATGGTTACATCAAGCGCCGTACGGGTAACGCCATCTACGAAGTCGACGTACGGTCTGCCAAATGGGTCGGTCACGCAAACCAACATCGTCCGGAGCACGCTGCGCTGGCTATATCAGAAGACTCGATTCCTCTGGATTTATTGCTGGATATCTTTGAGTTACCATCCACACATATGCTCTCTGTGCAAACAGACAAACCACCAGTCGAGTCCATACGCACACCAAGACCGTGATCCAACCATAACTCAAAACCATTTGCATCATCATCATCGACAGCATGACATCACTGTTCGAAACCGATGCTTCACTGCACCAGTGCACGTGAATCCACATCTGAAAACCTACACATATTGCGAGAGGAAAGGCTTTGGGACGGTCAGAATCTAACGAACAAATCGATCTTTTGTAATATTTCACTAATGTTTCATTTTCTCTCTGATGTAGCCAACCGAGTTTGTATTTGGTTCATCCTCGGTATAGTCAACTTTCATCCGATTTCTCTTGTCCTCTTCCTTGGGATCCACCCACTGAAAGACTTGAGCCATTTAAACGATGGAATAAGTTCGACCAACCTCCTAGATCTTCCAGCTACTACATAGGTTCGAAGCGCCTTGTACAACCAAATGGTCACGGGATATCATCAAATTCAAAAGTTATTAGTGATGACAGTAAGCAATAACCAGTAATCGCTCAGCTGTGACACCCCTTCGGTGCTTATCATGCCACCCGAAGGAAGCACGAGGGCTGATATACTGTCACGATACCCAAGCCTAGAAAGGAGCAGGCGAGATTCAGAGGTTGGGCTCGGACCGCGGACCTTTCGGCCAGTAAATTACGGCTCTGGCCACACCACATAAAGACTGACAGTTCACACGGGTCTCTAAACGCCAGGCATTAAACTGATTGAAAAATTACAGGAAGTGCTGGTGAGTAGTTAAAAATGGTTCAGCTGTAACATTCCTTCGGTGCCTAGCTGCTATGCCACCCAAAGGAAGCATGGGGGCTGGGATACTGTCAGGTTGCTCAAACCTAGACCTGGTAAGTCGAGAGGCAGAGATCGGATCTGAAACACGAAACTTTCGGTCCGTAAACTCGCTCTCTAACCACTGCACGGCAGTGAAGCATTGGTGTAGAACACTGACGTCATGCTGTCGATGATGATAATGAACCACTGAGCCATCCCGCCTCCTGGTGAGTCCATGGTATTCCATGAGATTAAGCATTCGGTCGCAAGAGGCTATTAACACATCCTGTTTCAACTGACTCGAACAACCGGATGTAGAAACATAGAACAAGTGACACCGTCTGTGAAAAAGATGGGTCAGCAGTTCATTCTGTTGGAGATATCAATATCCCCCCAAAAACCTCTGTATTTTTATGTGCGCTAGCATCTTCAAGGTCAAACTATATATAGATTTTTCGTCTTTTTACTATCCGCCGTGCTAGGAGTCTGGATCAAGCAACATAGCTGGGGATAGAGTATTGCCACGATCCGCATATCATACTGTTTTGCTCGCAGCGTGATCGAACCCTAACACATTCACAGAAGCGTTGTTCTGAGCACCGAACTGGACGCTTCGAAAAACGATTCGGCTACTCCACCCTACAAGACAGACACCTGGTAACCTGGAATAAAGTAAGGATACAGGTTTTCTGTAGGAAAAACATAACACAATTGCACTCCTGAGACATATCAAGACCATCAGCAGGGAGCGGTAATGTTAAGCCTATATGGTATTCCCGAACTGGGATATCAAACAATAGCCGTCCGAATCACTGAAGGTATTGTCTAATCGATTATCTAGCCGAATTGTATGTCGAATCGGGAGAGATAGAGCACCTCGCATCAAGAAGTAACAAAGAGTGTTCTGAGATCCGATGGCATCTATGCACGAGCTCATGAGCACCACAAGCAGTTCCCGGCGTCAGGTATAGCCATGGTTTCTCATCCCAGTTAAGGTCAATGCCCTCCGAAAAGGCTATATATAGTGCACTGCGTAATAGGTTCAGGTATGTTTCCCTAGATCGTAACTAACAGAGCTTCTCTACCGCTTTTACGTGGAAGCTCGTTTCCGTGGTCTACCTGGGAAGATTAATGAAAATCTGCGCCGAACAGAAAGAAGAAAAGAAAAAAGGCGTTCAGCTGTAGCACCCTTCCGGTGCCTAGCTGCCGTGCCACCCGAAGGAAGCACGAGGGCTAGGATACTGCCAGGTTGCCCAAGCCTAGAGAGGGGAAGTCGAGTGGCGGAGGTCGGATTCGAACCACGAACCTTCCGGTCAGTAAATTCGGGGCCATCTCGCCCCCCGCGCCGAACAGAAGCATGATCTGAATCAGCTTGTATATTCCAGAACGATCGGCAATCAAGGATTGAAGCGCACCAACGATAGCTGATGAGATGGTTAATTTGACTCCAAGGCTACTCGGCAGCAGGTAGCACAGCGGTCAAATCCCAGCACTGATGAGAAACAAATGGTGGTGAGCATCAAGTTGCAAAAGACGTTCACCATCGTCGCCGCGTTTTGCGCTTAGACTAAACACATCACCGAGGCGTGCTCCTGACGAAATTAGGCGCCCTGTCTGTGGTGGTGGGTAAGAAAATGATTAGTTCCCCATAGAAGATGTCCTTCAGCTCCAGATGGCTTAGTGATTAAGTAGAGAAGGCTTTTGGTTCGAACCTTACTCCGGAAACTCGACTGCACTTAGCTAGTCTTGTAAAATCTGGCACTATCTCATCCCTCGTGCTTCTTTCGGGTGGCATGGCAGCTGGGCACCAAAAGGGTGTTACACCTGGACGATCAGGTGTCTTTCAGTGAATCTGAGCTACTGTGTGTAAATAGACACGATAAACATAGAGCGTTCACTATTTTAACCAGTGCGTTTTGATCGAATTAGGAAGTCAAACAGCACAGAGGCGGCTGTTTATAGGTATCCAGTCGACTAAGAGGATCTCGGCTTGGGACCATACTAACACCGGCGCGACCCACTTCGGCAGCTTTGAAATCGCTCGAAACTTACAATCATCCAGACAGAAGGGGTGTCGTAAGCTCAAAAGCTGTATTCGAGTTTCAGGGATGCAAGAAAAACCGAAGCTATATCTGGGATCAAGGGGGAGGGCCAAACTGCCCAACGGTTCTCACGTTGAAGGCTGCAACAGGCTTGAGTATCAGATATGGAACAGTAGATGTGAGTGGTTGCACGCAACGTGCCAATTTCATTGGCGCCCGGCAGAAATGCCTACAGCTGAGATCTACGTACGAGTGACTGTCAAGTGAGACAGGACGAGAGAAAGAAGCAATAGGGACGATGGAAGGAATCAACAGACGCAAGGTTTCACCTATTCGCCCACCAAATTGTACGTAGCAGGTAAGGCAATCCGATTGACGGCACCAAGCGACGACTGATATGGCACGATCAGTTGTAGCTATACAACTCATTAGTGTACGTGGGCTGTCATACTGCCGTTCAGTTTCGCGCTGTTATTCCTTTGTTTCAAAGTTGGCCCCCGCATTGGTAAGGGGTACGAGACAGCTTGACCATACTCTTGAATGGGCTGCACGTGGGGAAAAAATAGAACGCCGTTGTCTGGCAACATGCCGAAGAGTTGTGAGAATGAACTCAATGCAATCTTGAGGCTGGTGTCAATTTTCAGGACTTATCTGCATGTGATTTTAGCCTGGACATATCCATTATCCCAAAATCCTTCCTAACCGAAGTCCACAGGGGACGAGCGCCACAAAAGTAGTGATATCGATATTGGGCCTCGGCGAAGATTTGCAATTTAATACATGAGAGATTCATAGGGCAATTCCATGGTTCTGACTGGTTAGGTAGCATCCACGGTACATTGGACTGACAGCAGATTCACCTGAAATTACCACCATCCAGATTACGTGCACACAGCAAATAGTTGACGTTCAAGAGTTGAGGTACGCTGTTGATGGAAGTCTTGGAAAGTTCGGGTCCGAGCGCCCGGACCTTGGAGAAGACCAGTGCTTGTGCAGACAAGTTGACTATTACGGGTGGTGGCCAGGGAAAAAACGGAGAACGCACAGAAGCTGTTGAGGAGGGACTTCACAGAACGCTTTCCTGAAGTTCACATATACCAAAACTATGTGTAATCCGGTATCAAGTGCTGCTGGAAGGGATCATCCTCTACACATCTGGTGCAGTTTTCTAACCGAAGGATGGAACTCCGACTTCACAGTTAGTCCTGCGATTTAGGTACGCACATAAACGCTTTAGGACCAGCTTGGGTAAAACATTCTGGTTGATTTCGTGTTCCCGTTTCCGTACCCTAAACAGTGTGTAGGCAGTCCGGCATGAATTTCAATTCGAATAGCGCTTACTGGGGTCACTTTTCGGGCAGTTCCGACCTCTGCCTCTCGACTTTCCCTGTCTAGGCTTGGGCACCCTGGCAGTACCTTAGCCCTCGCGCTTCATTCGGGGCATGACAGCTAGGCGCCGAAAGGGTGCTACAGCTGAGCGATTTATTAATTTTATTTGTTTGTACTACTCACTAAAGTGGTTCGCAAGGTTGTGGAGGCGAAATGGCTCAGTGGTTAGAATGCGAATTAGCTGACCGGAAGGTCCGTCGTTCGAACCCGACCTCTGAATCTCGGACTTTCCCTTCTAGGCTTGGGCACCCTGGCAGTACCTTAGCCCTCGCGCTTCATTCGGGGCATGACAGCTAGGCGCCGAAAGGGTGCTACAGCTGAGCGATTTATTAATTTTATTTGTTTGTCCAAAAGCTAAAGATGAGCCTCCCAGAATCACACGTGACAGATTGACGGTATGTGCCCGGGACTCTAACCCATCCAGCGGAAACAGGATACCGTGTGAAAACTACGGGAAGAAAACTCATAATCAAGTCACCAAACCACGGGATTAGGAACAGATTTAAGGAGCGAGTAGACTACATGACATTTGTAATCAGGCTAAGGTCCGGGGCGCATTTCAGCAAGGTCCGTCCGAAAGTAGCACCGGGCGTCAAAAATTGAAGATTACTCCATGTGGATAAAGCTAGCGGAACGTCATCACTATACGCCACAACCGAACGTGACTTCCCATTTATTTGCTTGAATGAAGGGACTAACATCAAACCAGTCAGGCTGGTCGCCACCTTGGTTCCTTTGCATGATGACTGGAAATCGTTCATTAGCTTCTGATTCTGCTGACACCAGTCATCGATTCACGGATTGATACACGGGATATAGGCTTTCGACCAAACTTCCAGGGTCGGGTTTGTTCTTGTCGTTAGCAGTTTCCGTTCACCTGGAAGGCGAAAAAGGGTGCAGCACAGCTCTTTGCGCTCTCAGCATGAAGCAGTAATCTTGCCAGCGCGAGGAATCACCTACAAAATCCTTTGGAAGTGTTTTGAACTGAGGACTGGATGTAGCGTGAACCGTCGGAGGAAGGTTGTTTCACGCACTAACTACCCACAATGAGAAAAACTATTGGCTAATAAAGGTGAGTGCTTCGGGTTTGAAAATCTTTCTACCATGTCCCCGCCGTGTGTTAATTAGGTCAACGGTGAAAAACCTGTTGACCAAACCCTGTTCGAACAGGGCGTCAGTAAGAATGAAGTCTCCTCAGAGGCGAAGATACTAGTGGGGAAACACGCTAAGCACCACGGGACGCGTTCCATAAACAACGGTTTTAGGGCCGCCAACCATTTTCGTAGCGGCTCGCTGGACACGCTCGACGAGGGTTAAGCCTTTCTAGCGTCCTGGGTAGACAACTTGGTTGGAGTATTCAAGAAGCGGTCTGGCGTAGGCCCCATAGAGTGTCTGTAAGGTTCGTTGAATCATCTGTAGAACGGCTAATGCTTTTTGGGCCGATTTCTCATGGTGCATTGAGAAAGACATGTTTGAAGAGAGACAAATACCCAAATCCATTTTAGCATCTATCGTCGCGATGTCTTCTGGTCCATTCTCACCATGAACCACAAAATCGTTCGCTGAGTGCCCTGTGGATGACCAATGAACGTGCTTCTCGTGATTCAGAGGAAGGTGCCAGTCCAACAACCAATATTTGCAACGTCTACATCCATTTAAAAGGCACTGGCATTTGAGCTCCACAATTTCCAATCGTCCGAAAAAGTAGGCATGGACTTGCAACAATATTTGGAAGGTTGCTGACAGATCAGGAACAGCAGTGGTCACAAAACGGAGCCTTGGGTAACTCCAATGGAGACCGGTGCCAAAGAAGAGTAGGTCGGAACTGATTTCACTCGGAATGTTTTGTCTGACAGGAACGCTCCAATCCATCGTAGAATTTTCCCTTGAATCCCGTAAGACTCGAGTTTCTGGAGCCGCAGAACGTGTGAGACTCGATTGAATGTTTTTGAGGAGTCGAAAAATATAACTTCCGATATGAGTACTTCGTCCTTAGCTTGGGTTAAGCTGCCCATAAATACGAGTATGTTCGTTACGCAAGAACCATTTGGAAGGAACCAGTGTTGCACTGAGGATATCAAGTTGTTGTTGGTGAGGTGATCTGAAATGGCCAGCTTCAGAATGCGTCCCACCATCTTGAACGTACGCTAGTGGGGCTAATAGGCCTATAGCTTCCGGGCGATAGTCAGTCACCAGGTTTGCAGATTGGCGTGAAAATTGCCTCCTGGAAAATAGAGCGAAGGTTTCCTTCGTCTATTGATTGACGAAATACAAGGTGGAAATTCTTTGCCAGTGTGAGCGATGTTTCCTTCAGGACCATTGGATGGACCACATTTGGCCCCAATGCAGTGAGGGGGTTTGTCTTGTTGAATCAATCCCACAAAGTCCCAAGCGAGCTCCTTGCAGAAAACCTTGATTAACCTGCGAACTACGACTTGGATGAGGGTGATTCTCTTCTCCACGCATAGCGCTCTGAGTGGAGGGGACGACGACGAAGTCTAAGTTAACTCCGACAGGGTCGGAGCGCCTAGTCTGGTCCAAGAGAACTCCCAACCATGGAGAACCCCGAAACCAGACCAGAAGAACATGCACAGCGCATAGTGTATAAAGCGACTACAACGGAAACCTGTCAAGACCCGAACATGCATCGAGGACACCACCGGTGGAAGCAGGTATGCACCTAGCGCCCGGGCCTATTTTCGCCCAATCAGAGCAGGCCTCGATACCGCAAGGCCACAACCCAGGTGTTGACCAATCACGTGCCACCGCCACCCCTAAACGCCCGGTGGTCTGAAATCTTGTGAAATCTTGTTCCAACCATGCGATGCATTATTCTGATTTTAGCATGTGCATCGAAGAATCTATGTGGCAAATGTCAAGAAGTTAGTAGGATGACGCTTGAAACCTGGATACCAAATCCGTCCAAATTTTCTAACTTTTGCGCCATTCTGGCCAGGTCTAGGGAGGAGTGGATGTCGATGATTAAGGGCCAGTCTCCAGTGGGGGGAAGTGGAGGGGAACGAGCCTCAATATCACCAGATTGCACCACCAACCAGCTCATTTTGCAATGAAATAGTTTGGATTTTGTCCAGCAGAAATTCACATTCTTCCTGTCCCTCGGAAGGTGGTATCTAACACGTTAGCCCCAATAGACATTGCGCATTGCGATGGAACACATAATGATAATAATGATTACTCCCGGCTGGCCAGTGTCATATCGTCAGTTACATCCAGAATCGTACGGCCAGGGATTCGCAGAAGCGGGGCTGTCACAGGCGCACAAGAGGTCATGTCTACGCCGGAACGAACCAAATGTGTCGGACAGTGCGATCAGGGGAATGCAGTTGTTAGAGCTTTTTTCATCAATCTAATTCAGAACAAATTCCCTCTGGGCCTTCTTGCTTGACAATTCGCTGCAAAGCTGTATAACGCGACCTGCCATAATCAGGTACTTTCTCCCAAATTTATGATGAAATCTCAGCCCGAAGCTTAGTTCTTGTTCACCGCGCCCTCCATAATCAGGTACTTTCTCCCAAATTTATGATGAAATCTCAGCCCGAAGCTTAGTTCTTGTTCTTTGGATGATTTGGTGCACCTCCCCCGTTATTATTCTAAGAAATATCAAAGTACACCTTAGGGCCCACGCCAGACCGCCTATCAAACACTCCAGAAAATTTGCCTACTAAAGACATGAAAAGCATACCCTAATCGGGCGTGTTCTCGAAGATTCACACATGTGTTTGGAGACCTTGCATCCACCAAACGTTAAACTCGGGGAAATCCTGTACCCCTTATCCTTACAAGGTCTTCGCATCTAAGAGTTCCCCACGCCTAAACCTTGTTCAAGCATGTTTCCGCTAGTATACTTTGCTTTTAGCACTACTGAACTATGGCCTGGTTATTTTTCAAGGTTATATTGCGCACGGTAATTGGGAAAGAATATTTCCGGTGGTTCAAAAAATATTCAGGGAATAGCTGGCTCTCAAACATCGATTGCTTGTGCTCCAACTGTACAGACAGCCATAAGTTCCGTTCATGAAACACTGTATGACCGAAATATGGAAACTTGTATGCTTCACCGTCAAAACCTCTGGAGGACCCCACGACGGCCTTCGAAGGTTTATAACATTTTTGCTCAATACGGAAGCTGCCTTGTGTCGGTTTGTGGCGGAGGTTGGTAGACAAATGTGGTGAACATAACGGCTTGAAGCAAAAGTGTTAGAAATGCCAGATCTGAATGCTATGTTACTGCGTATCAGAAATTTTCGGCCATTCAGGGGTGTCTTTGAAGATTCACGAACTGTCTAGCAAATGACTACAGTAACTTTACTATGAAAAGCCTGAAGACTTGGCGATCCAGAAGAATTCTGTCTAGTTTCACGTTTATCTGCTTCAGTGAACAGGCAACAGGAACTAAGGCGTAGCATCACACAAATTCGACCAGGGGCTACAGTGAGGTGCGTCATTCAAAACGAAAGCCTCGCAGCTCCACTGCAGTCATGGCAGTTCGCCTCACAAAACCCTGAAGGACTCAGTACTCAGAAGAACCTACCCTTGAGTCTGTTTTGATAGATTCAGACGACGCTTTCAAATCGATTCCCGAAAAACTCTGCGTGTACAAATATTCTTGAGACAATACCCGATGATGTGTTTCACATATTAGCTCTAAATATAATTGATTGCATCCAGAAACGCCCATCACGCAGCTCGGCGCTAGAAAATAAGAGCAAGATTTTGCTTACGATCCTCCCTCACGTTTGGACTTTTAGAACGAATGCTCACAGGATTGACTTACACAAAAAACCCGCTTTTTCTTTTTGAGTTTATTTTGGGTTTTCCATTGGCTGGAAGCTACTTTTTGTTTTTTAACGCAAGTTCCTTATGTTCGCTAATAGCACCCTCAAAGGCCTTCTGAAAATCCACCACCGTTAAGGCGTCAATAGTGAACCTGCTTGATGTTTGTGTGCCCGAATATGCGCTTGCGTCTCAGATGCGGCAACTTGAAAAGTTGAGGTCTTAATCACAGTTTGTACAGCCCAATCTGACTCTGACCTTCTATGAATAATTTATCTCAAAATGATGCAGGGCATTGGTGGTACGGTTTTTACAGGACCTCAGTTTTTGATGAACCGGCCGCACGCACTTCTTATGGGGATGAGCCTAAACAAACGTTGATTTTATGCCGGTGCATTCTCCGCATTCCACGATGTTCTTCAAGGCCGCACGGGACGAATTAAGCCATGTGACTGTTTTTATCACACACCGCACCCACCAAATGGGCAGTAGATTTGAGCATATAACGTTCTCACCAACAAATTCAGTAACAGTGTCAGTTACGTGCGATGCAATGCTAGTGATGAGAAGGCAAGACTTGGCGTAAGAAGTTAAATGTGGAGGACTTCAGAAGGCAAATGGCTCCCTGCGAGTAAAATATACCGCTCCGGCCCGTTCGATACCAACGTTGGTAGGTCGCCTATTCTGAGATGAGGCCGCAGTTGACATATCTTATTGTGGCCACACGGCAACACATCTCTCCTCGATTGGTAATTTGAGTCTGACGATGATATTATTCTCAGTTGGCAGTAGTCCAACCGCCGCATTCGCTATACACAGCACGCCTCTACTCTTTGCTTATTCAGTAATTATTGTCTATTACTGACTTGATAACGACCCTCCATCCTTTGATTCCCGCCTAGGGTGCACTGTTGGTGTCGGAAAGTTACCTCTCCGCCAGAACACAATAATAGCTCCTCCTCTTGAGATTCCATTGACACAATACGACACGCAACATCCAAAATCGATATCAGCCGCTTCAATGCTTTGCACCTCAGCACAATCATAATATTCTTATGCGTCGGCCAGCCAGATGATCATAGGACCACTGAAATGAACGTCATGATTTGGAGAGATTATCCATTTATCGGTTTACAACAGTTCCATAATGTTTGTGCTGCCATGGAATTTCGAGCCTGTGTCATACCATCAGGCAATCTCATCGCTTCAATGTTTGCACCTCAGCACAATCATAATATTCTTATGCGTCGGCCAGCCAGATGATCATAGGACCACTGAAATGAACGTCATGATTTGGAGAAATTATCCATTTATCGGTTTACAACAGTTCCATAATGTTTGTGCTGCCATGGAATTTCGAGCCTGTGTCATACCATCAGGCAATCTCATAATGGTACGGTTAGAATAAAGTCACGACTGATGTCAATTGTGGGTACCCAAGAATGCACAGAAGCAGAGCAGTCACAGAGAATGGTGGACATTAGTTGACACAGACTGTCTTGAATAATCTGACACTAATTGCAGCGGACATCGAGGTCAGAGAAGCGCAGTTATTGGCCTTTTTTGCTTCTAGAGAATCAGTCATGCCTAACAAGATCCTATCATGACAAATTGAAGATGGGGTTAACAGATTAACTGGGAAAGTCCAAACTAAAATGTAATGCCTGGCAAGTGATGAGAAGCTACAAATTTCGTAAAATAAAGGACCGGAACAACGAATCTCGAGGAGTATCAGTGATTCAGCGGAACGGAAGACCAATTCTGAGTAAAATTAAAAAAATTTTTGCATACAAAACACCCCAATAAAGTCACGCGTCTGCGCTTATTAATCTACTAACTTACCTCAAAGTTTTGCCGACAAGCTGGAAGGTTAGTGACCCAAAAATCGGAACTGGAACTGGCATATCTACCTTGACTTTGGGCTTAGTTGCCACAGCAAACTGGTGTGGCATCTCACTAATGTCTCTGAATAGTCGATTGTTCTGATATTCGCTTTACTACTGTATTGTCCTGATCAGCCATCCTGCCAAACAATGAAGCTGCTTACCTCGACTTTATTCAAATTATTCATACACTACATCTAACAGATGTGATTGATGTTTCACTTGCAACCACCTAAGGCTTAACTGTAGTGAATTAATTGTCATAGTACCTGAATTGGTGGCCGTTTGACGTACACTCACCCGCACCTCGTAGGGATTGGACGCACGTCTCTACCTGGTTGTCTGAGTGGCTTTTACATCATGCTAGCCAAGGAAATAACCAAGCCATTTTGTGGTTAACCGAGGCATTCAACTCGTTAAAAACATCGCTAAAATCCTCCACAAGAAATGTTATCATCGCAGTACCTGGAATTGTTCCAAAAGGAGCTTTTGTTTGAAATCCTCTGATTTACTTTGCCCTCACCAGTGGACGTCCAATATTAAGATCCGAAGTGAACAAGAAAATATCTCACGATGAACGGAGTCGAAGAATGGACATAATGGTAGCAAAAAGCCAAGAAGTTGTGTGCTGAGAAAATGCATTGAAATATAAAGTTCTTTAAATTGTTTAGTTGGAGAGAAAATTGTCTCTCTAACTGCCCGCTATTTCAACCAGCAAGTACAAGACCCGAAAGTTTGAATACTTTCATCGTACATGCCATCTATTGTTTAGACCACACTCTAGACCTGGACGCAAGGTGCTTTCAAAACTGCGTGCTCCCCTTTATTGATCATCCTTAAGAACGAGGCAAAGATGATTAGTGCAATGCTGCTTTATCGGCACAGAGAATACACTGTTGGTCACAGTTTTTCACTACCATTCAGATTGTTCTGAAGCACTTGCCAAGGCAATTTTGGCACGTCCTGTAGTTATTTATGCACCTCGGTACGATTTACAGCATCAATAATAACAGTGAGCGCAACTTTCCGATGATCGAGACATGCCATTCCTCTTCATCAAAGCCATCTTTTTGACATTCAAAATGCTCTTATTTCCATCTGCGCGGCGTTCTCTGCAGAGTTTAGACACACAAAGCTCCGGGATAAGGAGCACACAGTAAATCTTCCTTATCGGTCAACGTTTGGAGTCACAGTTGGTCCCGTGAATTTGTTATCGGTTTTGGAATGGTTGATTTGAAGCTTGATCGCCCCGAATACGTACCCGTGGCAATCTGAGCGGTTTTCCGGCATTAGGTCATAGAAGATGCCACAGAAACTTGAACCGCTCC